TATGCATGTTTTTGTTTCACTATTGCGTACAAATAACTTGCTTGCATTGCCACTTAGAATTGCACCGAGCTTGTTGCTTCTTTTCCGTATTGCCCTTTGCATAGCATACTGCAATGTGTTGAGTTGCTCAAACCTGCATACCTCTAACATACTGCCTAATATATATTGTCCTGTCGCATTGAAACGGCTCAAAAATGTCCACAGGTAAAGCTAGCATTCCGGAGTCGGCTGTTTCTGACCAGGTTTACCAGTCGCTGTTGCAGACGTTAGCTAACGAAAAGCGTGGGGTATCACACGGTGGTGTAGCTGCCACGGGCGCACTTAATCAGGGCATGTTTAGTCCAGAGCGACGTGAGGAGATATTGAGAACGTTCATCGAGAACGCTCCCAAGCTCTCCCAAGGCGCTGGCGGGCAGCAGGCCGCGCACCCTGCTGGACTGGCCGCACTTCCACTTGGCCGCAAGCGACAAGCGGACACCGAGGTGCTGGATTTTAGTGTTGCTGCGAAGATGGTGCCGCACGTACCACACGGGGCGCACGCGCCTCACTCAAACGGCCAGCTAACGCGGTTCGACGACGATAAACTACATGCTAGTAAACCACGAGTAAGTTGAGCCTGAACTGTCGATAAGGGGCAGAGGATGGTATGATACTGGGCATAGGTCCAACAGAAACCGCTACAGAGACAAGTGGTAAATCTTTTCAAGCTTTTATATATCCCTATAGGCCTTAACTATTTTGGATTACGTGACAGTCTGATCCAGGATATGGATTTGTGGTGGACAAGTTACGGTGAGGTGCTCCCAGGGTTATCATCCGTAGTAATCCGTCGGCCCGAACTAAGCGCCGTTCCCGTAATGAAAGATTCGAAATATTTTAGTTGTAAGAGTTTTTTGCTTGCATGCTTGTAAATGTGAGTAACTTAATGAGGAAATTAATAGTAAGTTTTGTTCTTATGTTATTGGCTCAGGTACGTACGACGTTCGACCCGGAGACGGAGGTGCCACAGCTGCACGCGTGGTTCCAGAGGGACCAACACCCCACACGTGTCCAGATTCAGGACTACGTTGAGCAGTTAAACGCAGCGCGACGGGCGCTCAATCGCGACAAGCTGCTCAATGTGAATAATGTGGTGTATTGGTTCAAGAACGCGCGGGCGGCTTACAAGCGCCGCCGGCTTCAGATCGTCGCGCCGGGTCAGTTAACGGCAGGGTCACTTTCGGTGTCCCTGTCGGCTTCCAGTCCAGACAAGGGCGCTCCATGCTCTCCCGGATCAACGAGAGACCAAGATATTGAAAGCGACCGCGAGGCAAGCGTATCACCCCCGCCCAAACTTACGACCGCTAACCAGACGCTTCCATTGAACGCATCTGGCGTCGACGCTGTTAGCGGTGCTCCGGGATTACTCGACAAATGGAAAGAGTACGAGTATCAACGAAGACTAGCCGAAGCGCAACAGCGGTTGGGTTGGCACCATCTAGCGGCAGTGATGCAAGCCACTCAGGCGCAACAGCATCAACAGGCCGCGTCGTTAGACCTTAGTGTAAAACCGGCTGGTGTCAAGTTGCAAAGCTGTTCGAGCGAGGCCGACAACGATAGCGCCGACTCATCGAAAGAAGGCCTCGCCAAAGATGGTGCCGAAAGCGATGCCAGTGATGATGACGAGCCTGAACGCGAAGAGACCGATCCCGATGGCGAGCACGACAACGAGATAGCCTGGGAAAACCGCATTGCCAATGCGCAACAGCAGGCGTCGAATTTAGCACTATATGGCGCTGGCGTTTATGGCGGGGTGGCGCTACCTGGTGTGCCATTCCAAGGTCTACAACCGACTGGGTTAGCGCCTAATGGCCATTTTGCTGGCGGCCCGCTGGAGGCAGGCCGCAAACGAAATCGAACGTTTATCGACCCCGTGTCCGAAGTGCCTAAATTGGAGAAGTGGTTTAATGAGGTGACGACTCATCCGCACCATGCGCAAATTGAGGAATTCACAGCGGAGCTGAACGCCATGGAGTACCGACAGAAGTTTCCTAAGCTCGAGCCCCGCAACGTGCAGTTCTGGTTCAAGAACCGCCGAGCGAAGTACAAGCGGATCGAGAAGTCGGCCACCTCGTCGGGACTTCCTCCCTCAGTCGAAACAACCGTTTCATCCTGAATAATATTCTCAGCAACAGCAGGAAATAATTAAGAAAACAAGATGGTGAAAAGAACGATAATGCATCCAGACCTAGAAAATCTACGACAGATGTACTGCACCTCACATTATTATTACTATTTGGAATTACGATTACCGCTGCAAGCGAGAACCGATGGAGAACTAACCAATCGACTCTTGTTGTTGCTGCTGCCTCAGGAAGGACGAGTTGCATATCGCAGTTGGCGACACAACAGGCAGATGTCGCAGCTGTTCCGCGGTGCAGGGATAGAGAAAGGGGCCGAAGATGGAAATTAAGGACTCGTACTAGCTCAGCGATCCAGTATCAGCTTTACCTACAGCTTCATTCGGAGTTGCCGAGTGTCACTCGACAAAACCAACCAACGAAAGGACCACGGCAACCAAGAAGTGCATTTAATTCTATGATACAATACACTGCACGACGAACTACTAATGATAAGTTGAAAAACGAATTATTCTTGTCGATGGAGAGGCAATACGGTGGACATTGACGTCAAACGTCCGCCTCGCATCGTTTGCTTTTCGTCAAGCCAAATAAAAACAAAGCTGTCTCCTTCCGAAACAAACAGAGAAAGAACAACAATAGTGAACATTAAAATTAAAACACATCGTATAATACACATGAAATGTTTGTTTATGGCCATCGATGGTGGCGACGTATACGGCAACGACGACGGCATTAATAGGTGCCGTCTGTGTTAGAGCTCCGCCAAACTCGAAAGTAAGGAGTAGCTAGCCACCAAAAGAGCTAGCAAAACGACAGGACGAACCTCTAACGAGCGTTACTAACAGAAACAGCAGGTCAAAAAACGAGGGGAACAAGACAAAAGCTGAAACAATGGCGGAAACACTCACACATACATCCACACAGATAATACAAAAAGGTTCAATCAAATAGATAGAATAACAAACAGTAAAAGTAGTAAATCGTATTGAACAAAGACAAGTTTTAGTACTCTAGTCATTCACGAATCCATAACGATCAAGAGCACCCTGATGTGCATGCGCGCCGCCACGTAATTCTGTTGGAGTGGGTTCGTCTGCTCAACGTCGGCGCTCGTACTGTCTTACCGCCTCCGACGAAAATCAATATGGCGATCGACGAGTTAAATACGGCGCAACTACATTCCGCTACACCAGTTTCAGAGAATATCGCCGAAAACGTTTTGTTTCTTTTTTGCTCAGCTTCGCTGACCTTTTGTCACTCGGCAATCAACAGGGAGTAGCAGCCGAATACGATATGGGAAGCAAATATGTCAGACTCTAGGAAAAAGAATTGGGGCAGGGACAAAATGTTGGGCAGGGGAGAGGGCAGGAAGATTATGGCAGCAGAAGGCGGTCGGGGGCAAATTTCAAACATTCCGCTTGAACGTTTTTGGGCAGCGCGGGTACCCGCAAATTGCGCGTTTTGCATGTCGAACAAAAGTACACGGAAGGGCTCGGATGGTCGAGCGTTGCTTGCTTGGCCCTGTACACTGGGGGTAAAAGGGTTGCATAGGGAGAGAGAGAGAGAGAGAGAGAGAGAGAGAGAGAGAGAGAGAGAGAGAGAGGACACAAAAGCAAAATTGATTTCCCCGCCAGTGAGGTACTCGACGGCAAATGAGGAGGAACATGAAGTATTGGCTAGTTCCACTGATGCAGTAGAACTGTACTCGTCCTGCCACGGCAATGCCATCCGTTTTGAGTTTTCTCTATTTTTACATAGACGATGATAGAATGAATTAATTAAAGCTATATATAATTATTTTAATTGTTCTATAAACAAGCGTTAACGATTATTTGTATATGTTAATATTATTCGTGTTTCTGTCTTGGTTATTATCGTAATTCTGCAATCCACTTGCACGGACTCTGCATTTACGCTATTGTACCACACTCTATCATATACGCGCCGATTTACGTTGATTGTTGTTGACTGCCAGCGCCGGCGAACGCTGGCACAACCCTGTTACGTGTATCATCGTATGCTTCTCGCTGCGTGGTAACATACACACACCGTACTACAAGCTTTGAGCAACTTGACGTACGGAAGAGAAGGCCCACAACACTGACAAGTATACACACATACACACACACACACACACACATATAGATATAAACAAATAATAGAGAGAATTATGCGTAACGACATGCATATGAGTGAGGACAGAGGGGAGATATTTGGGCTTTCGATATCGTCTTCTGAAGCAAACTATACCGTCTCTTCGACTCGCTGCCACTTAACGAGGACTCCTTCGAACGAGATGCGACAAAATACTCTGCGAAGGCCGAGCGCCATTGGCATAAATCGATACGCGCACATCAATTAGTTGATAAGATGATAAATGGTGCATTCTACAACTACAATGTGGTGATCGTTCTAAAACATCAAACGCATTTCAACATGCATCTATTCACAGAAAGAGGTACCTATACCCTACAGAGATAGTGACTATACGATAGTAATATTGATAACATGATGCTAACTAATGGTGACAATGCTTTCTATTTGATGTAGCCAAAACGCCGTTTAGGAAGCAGCGTGCTTGATCATGATCAGCAGAGCTTTTGCTTCCATTTAAGGTCCACAGCTTTAAGTTGTCATGCGCGCAGTACTATCAGACAAGCAGAGAGGACTGGATCGTGAACTGCAGAGGTAGGAAAGTAGAGGCCGACAAACAATGAATGTGTCGACGATCCGAGAGGGAACGGCACACTTCTCGGCCATGCCTCAGCTACGAGATGCGAGATTGTGCCGACCATCACAGGCAGCGGCAGCATAAACATTCACAAAAACAACAGCATACTCAAAGTGTTGATCTCACCCGGGCGGGCCGAGGCCTTGTTGGAGATGTCCATGGGTTTGATGAGTATAAGCTAGGAGCTTGGAGTCAGGCGTCGTTCATGAGTGACACTGATAGTACGTTCGAGAGGTACGAGCAGGTTTGAAAAAATTAGCTACTAACAAATCGAAAATCATAACGTTTCCAGATGAGAGCATAGCAGGCCGGACGTGAACTCACAGCCGGGCACACTGCTGCGGGCAGCTTGGTTTTGGCAGTACGCTGATCTACCTAAAAATTACATCTTCTGAACATATTGGTCTACGTGATCGTCGACTCCATTCGAACAGGCCATCTTGCGCTTTAAGCCGAATGAGACAGTGATGTATGACAAAGAACAGTAGTGCTCCATTCAGAATAGCAATGATAGTGAACGAAAGGTAAAGCGGTCTGCTTCTGTGTATCGGGTACTGTGAGCATGCCGATGTATGTAAGTAGGTCTAGGCAACATAGTAGCGTAGGGTAAACACGTATGAAATAAGCTGATCATTAGCGATCTAAAAAGCGCATACGAAATATAACTAAGCGTAGAACGACCACGAGATACCCGAAGACATTTTATAGCAGTTAGAATTGTCGTGATTGATACACACATGAATACATGCAGAACTCAGCACATGCACAGGGGGCGACAAGCGACACGAAAGCTCACATTCCGAGGCAAATACCGTACCACGCAGGTGAAGTAGTCAGACAAAGAACCAGCTACATGTCAACCTGGGCGGTACCTCCGGGTTGACCTTCGGGCAGGACAGCCCTCATAGCAGACGCTACTTTAGCAAATACGATTGGCGGGAGCGGTCAAGTAACGGAGTCTTCTCTAGGTTGCGGGCGATCAAGGCGATAAGCGAGGATTGTGGGCAAAGGAAGCAGAAGTCGGTGGTACCAGAGTTCACCCACGAGTTACTTCGACGGGCATGTATATATCGCAAAACGATGACGAAAACAAAAACAGTACACCAAATGAGAGCAAGTCTCGGAGATATTATATAGATAGCATAGATAATGGTAACACTATTATTAGAAGGAGTAATATTAGCAAACTCAAAGGACGAACCGTATAACGAGTAACAGAATATTACCAATGGTAAGAGTAATGCTATTCGATATATATATATATATATATATTATATGAGGTAAACATATATATATATATAATGGCAGAATAAAAAGGAAATGATGTAGCCGGACATAAGGTCAGTATGATAATACATAACAATGATAAAAATAAAAGGAAAACAACCACACGATTTATATAGAACATTATTATTTTTCCGACTATCCAACTTCGGCACCTATAAAAAAGCACACGGAGGGTGGCAGCAAAGCAATACTTTACAACACCAACATCCATATTACTAAAAATACTACAGTGAGCATCGTGGGAGTAGTTAAGGACAGGAGCGTTACCGAAGGCACCCGAATTGAAAGCGGAGATGGAGGTTTTGATAAAGATTCAGGCAAAATGTAATCATTCAGACAACGTTTCCAAGGAACTTTGGCCTTGATTGACATACTGACAATTGTTTCTATGGAAGAAAATGGATGTAGCGTACAGAACAGGCTGACTGGTGACTTTCTACAATCACTCGAAAAAATCAATCGATTTATAATAACGAAGCAAATACTACACAATATGTATTTTTTATTAGCGAAAACCAATGTAAACGATCAACAGCTATATTGCATCTATTGAATACCCTATAAACAACGATGAGCATCACCTTACAGCAAGCCCCATTCCCCCAATCCCCCAGTCAGTAACCCAGGTTTCTCATTACTGTTATTCCTTAACGCAATCAACGGCATCACAATCACCAACATAATTTTATTGTTAAGTAACAACTCAATCAACCTGCAAATGAATCAATCCACGGGTCAATCAATGTACTTCGCATGGACCTATGAGCACATAGCACACTCGACATACGAACACCGTATGGGCAAAATCGCTCAGGAGAAACAGTATCCGATTCATTGCCTTCAAACATTCTCGATAACAATTTTTATTCCGTTACCTATGTTTTTAACAGTTCAGTAATAATAATAACAACAACATCACGAGGAAAATTACGAAAGTAACTTCATGGCGGCGGAACTTTCAGTATTATACAAGTTCTGTTAATTTTTAACAACATCAAAAATGAATAACGGATAGAAGGACGGAATGAGTAGAGCCCAAGTCGAATCGCGCCGCGCCTTGGGCAGCGAATCTAGGAAGAGCAGTTGTCGAGACAGACGGATAACGTTGGTTATAAATTTTTCAAAACAAATAAAGTATGTTATTTAATTTATATTCCTTGTTTCGTTTTTGCTTTGCTTTATTTATCTTTTCGATGCGCAAAGAAAATTAGTCCAGATGATCATAGCAGTACTGGTTGTGATTCTGTAACGTCATCGATCGATCGATTGATTGATTTTTTTCGAACTTTCTGTTCCGGAAAACAAACCAACTTGACGCTGACTTCCAACAAAACTAGCTAGCTTAAGTGAAGACACACACACACACACACACACACACACACACACACACACAAATAAGGATCGTAAGATCGAAGCAGGGGGAACGGTGATCGACTAATGACAGGAACAGCTACAGCGCTACGAATGAAAGTAATATCAGTAAATAATAAAATGGAAGTGTCTTATATTCCTGCCCAGGCGGATACATCTGCAACGAGCATTGACACGATGAAACCCAAATCAAGCAGACGATGATCGAGTTTTGAACAAGTAAATATACACACGTAGAAGAGTGCATATATATATATATATATATATATATATATACTTAAATTATTCGTCATAGCAATAAATCTTCGTCAAATACAGTAAACCTATTATTATGAGCGAAAATATCTAACAGTAACAAAGGCTATTATGTGTGTGCATCGAAATAGGAGAACGCGAAAGATACGGAATCCCTTATGATACGCGGCGTTGACACGAATGGCTAGGGATACGAAAGTGAAATGAACGAAGTTGTAAAGGTATGATCATCGATGGCTACCCTAATCAGTATGGGATTGGATGCAAATGTTTAGATAAGATGATGCCGATCTGACGACCAATGAAACACTAGCGAATGATTAAGGTGGCTACCGCTAGCGGCCAAACGGAGCCTAGTTGCTATAGGTGTGAGCCTTCAAGCGTCGTCGCGCTGCCGAAGCAGAAACCTGAACAAAAACAGGGGGAGATAGATGTTCTACGGAACGGACGAATTAGAAATTAGTGAACAAGTCGAAAACGACTGACAGAGAGAACACAGGGAGAGGTTGCCGTAGATCGAAGAGGCAAAAAATCGATCTTGATCAAGGGCTGACGCGTCCTTACCCCGACCCGCTTTACCATGCCGCAGTATCCTGTTTTGTCTTTCCTCTGTATTCCCGGCCCCGCTATACGACTTGTAGATACTGAGTGTACGATTGTCACTATCGTATACATATATATATCGTTGAAGTTCAGGAAATAGCAAGGAGGTACACCATATGTATAGCAATACAAGCTAATTCAGTGATTTTGAAACTTCAAGACACCGCTTAAATTTCTGCATGACGAAATATTTATATTGCAACAAAGATTAGCGAAACTTCGCAAAACGATCGTTTCCAATTTAGAAGCCAGCAAACGTTTCGCCATTGAACCAACGTACGATTGATTAACTACAACGACACTCTACCAGAATGCTGTTTCATTTTCGAAACGTAATCAAACTTCGTAGAACAAAACTTCGTA